TTTGCCCTGCAGAAGCTCTGCAACTTTATGCAATCCCATTTGTCCAACCTTTCTTTGATTTGTTGTGTTTCCGGGTCTCTATTCAAAAAATTTCGGCCTGAGCCAAGGAGACCTAGGGTTTCTCCTATTCCATCCTGTACACAGTATCTTTAATAGATAGATAGATAGACAGACAGACAGACAAATTGGGCTCCAGTGGCTCATGCCTGTAATCCTAGCTACTCAGGAAGCTGAGATCTGAGGATTGCAGTTCAAAGCCAGCCCAGACAGGAAAGTCTGTGAGACTCTTACTTCCAATAAACCACTCAGAAAACTAGAAGTGGTGCAGTGGCTCAAGTGGTAGAGTGCTAGCCTTGAGCTGAAGAGCTGAGGAACAGCGTTCAGGTCCAGAGTTCAAGCCCCCTGACCACCACCAACAACAAAAAAGATGGACAATATGTCCTCAGATGTGTCAATTCCTAACATCTTTCATTATTTTCTTGGTTTAACAAAAAATATACAAGCCAAATATAATAAAAATTGACTTTGTATTAACTTATACAGGAGCACTGCATGTCTGAACAGATGAGAGAGCTGGGAAGTGAGCAGGACAAATCTCTAGACAGTACATTTAAACACTGGATACATTGTTAAACTCTTACCCAAGATTTAAGTGATCCAAAGAAGTTTCACTATATGATTTTCTAAATATCCAACAGATCAGAAGAAGAGAATTAGCAAATATTACTAGAGTTAAGTATATAGCCACTGAAAAAGGCAAATGACAAAAATATTCTTAAAAATGAACCTAATAAGTAGAGTACAGCAATATTGAGTTATACAATGCCCTAGGTACTGCTGTACCAACAAAAACTTTATTTCTTATTGAGTTGAAGCTCTTATAATTTAAGGGGTCCTCTATACAAAAAAGAGCAGAAAGACATGCATATACAATTATGTTCTAAAATGGATATTTATTTGAAACAGAAAGACACACCAAATTATGAGAATTCTAGAACTTTAAGTTCCTTTTCTTCTGAGAACTCTGCAATTTACAAAGAAAGTACAAAAATAGAAGAGTTAGTTATTTCAGCCTTGTTTCCCCTTCCCATCTAGAATGTGTGACACTCAACTTCCACCAGCATCCAGTACCAGGCTGTATTGGCAAATGAGAGGTACCAGTACCTACAGGTAATCAGCTTGCAGCTTCTGCCCTGGGAGGCAGTGGCAGTCCCGCTCTTCCAGTGGTGTCCCAAATCCTACAAAAGAGTTAAAATAATATGCAGCGTACTTCCTTAAAAAATGATGAGGAAGTCCTGGAGTGTGGCTAAGTGATAGAGGGCTGTTAGCATGTATGAGGCCAGGGGTTGGAGCTGCAATACCACAAAATGGAGCAAGCAAAGCGAGGAAGTAAACGTTTTTATGTTTTTCTTAATAGGTATAGGAATTTTCTCTCCAATAAAATTGACTGGAAGGATTGTATAGTTCTGAGAATTTTAACATTTGTTTACTATGTGTATCATAATCAAGATAGTAGATCAATCATTGCCTAGAAATCTCTTATGTGGCAGCGCTGATAGCTCCTTCCTATAATCCTAGCTACTCAGGAGGCTGAGATCTGAGGATCATGGGACCAGCCGAGGCAGGAAAGTCTGTGAGAGTCTTATTTCTAATAAACTACTCAAAAAAGCTGGAAGTGGTGCTGTGGCTCAAGTGGTGGAGTGCTAGCCTTGAGCAAAAGATGCTCAAGGACAGTGCCTAGGCCCAGAGTTCAAGCCCCAGGACTGGCCAAAACAAACAAACAAAAAACCTTATGCAAAAGTATATAAATTTAAAAACAATACTGACAAAGGTAATTTTCATCATTTGTACATCATTATTATGAAATACTTCGTATCACCCAACTGATGGCCCAAGAAGTTACCGTGGTTACATGGCTCCATTGGACAAATTGCAGACAAGCTACAGAACTACTTGTAAAGAACAATTTCTAGATTCTCTTTTCCAACTTAGCTAGGGTAAGAAGATGAGAACTGTGTCTCAACACCACCATCACATGGGTTAGAGGTACTGCCAGGGGGAAAGGGAGGCGCTGTGGGGTAGTGCTTAGATTTCCACAGTGATTATTTATGCCTTGGATTGTTGCTTGGGGTGTCTCCTTTTCATCAGGGATCAGTGGAGCTTACTAGTAAGAACTAGATCTCAAGATAACACCTGGCTATGGAAAGTTGCCA